CGTTTGGCTCAAGTCAATGCCCATAGCTAAGTGCTATAAGTGTCTTCTATCCTGAGCAATCAGAGCTATCCCGTTGCACAGACGAACCGCCGCCGGCAGTGAGTGCAAAAGGAACGGCCGCCGGTTCTGCCTGCATAGGATTGCACGCGTGGAAGTGTAAGAGAGACAGGGTCCAGTCTGTGGAGAGTGCAAGCCAGCCACACCTACATTCATTACAGCTCTGGTGGGGAGAGCAGCAACCTAGTCGAGATCAATCCCCCACGCATTATATTATATGATATATTTGGATTATATTGTATTATGTTATACTACATTATGTTAAGTCATGTTAAAATATATTTATATTCACATGTTTTTAAACTGAGCAAAGACGCTTAGAGCACCATCCTGCCATCAAAGACAGAACCCATATGGACCTTTTCAGAACCCGTCATAAAGACGTTGTGTTTGCAAATGTGGGGGGCTGCGCCCTCCCCAACCCCCCGGCTTTCTTTTAAGCCGTGCAGGCTTGCTTTCAAGAACATCACACCATGAATAAGACTTGCACCAAGCACAAAATTGTTTTAGAGCTTTCCAAAACTCATCATACAAGCATTCTGGGGGAGGTGCGTCCCCGCTTTATATCGCTTCGGGTATCAGCTAGCCAGCAAAGACAGAACCCATATGGACCCTGTCAGAACCCGCCATAAAGACGTTGTGTTTGCAAAGGGGGGGGGACTCTATGTTTCAGGATGTTGTATTAACGTGTATATTTTGTATATTGTATTGTTCCATGTTATATGATATCACAAGCCATTACATTATAATAGAATGCTATGTTATATTGTGTTACATTATTCCATTGTATCAGCATGTTTTATGCTTCATCATGTAGTATTATATTATATTTTATTGTGTCCTATTATGTTATGTTGTGTTACGTTTTTTTGTATTATTTTACATTAGATTAAGTAAGTTATAATGTTTTACGTTACGTTTCAGTACCGTTTTTACCATGTTACATCATATTATAATATAGTGTCTCATTTGTATAGGGCGTTGTAATGTACTATATCAAGTTATTTTACGTTCGGCTGCAGCAATGTGGGCTGTTCCCCCCCCCGAAATCAGAATAAATAAAACACGGAACAAAAAAGTTTCAAAAAAAATGCGCCCCCTTTTAAACCTTTCAACTTTTTATGCTGTCATGGCTTCGAGCATACTGCCTTCTTGTCTCGTACGGGTTTTCATCTTTTTGGCTTCCTTGGCTTCTTGGCTTTTCGGCCTCTCGGCATCTAACCCTACATAAATGCCGAAATCTTCCAAATGAAAGCTTAAACCCACAGTCAACGGTTTCAGCAGATCCTGCTGTGTTTCTTGAAGTCGCAAAACCTCAGAACATGAGACAGAATCCGTAGGAATATAGTGTTTTCCCGAGGAACTACCGAGCAAAACCGAAGGAAAGAACAAAGAATCCGTAGGAAAGTAGCGTCTTTCCTAGGAAAAACACAGGATTCCGTCGAAAATGTACGGAAAATAGTGTTTTCCGTATAAAACGCAGGAAAACATGCTGCTTTCCTATGCTTTAGGCCAAGCACACAGCAAACACAAAAGTCCCAAAAAAATAAAAAACAAATTCCCAAACTAATCTCTGGCCCAAACTACTACTCCTACTACTACTACTACTACTACTACTACTGCTACTACTACTACTACTACTACTACTACTACTACTACTACTACTACTACTACTACTACTACTACTACTACTACTACTACTACTCACACACTCTCCGCCAAGCTCCCAAAGTGCAGTGAGGTGCAGCGAGGCCTCTTGCAAGGCTTTCTTAACACACGCAGCACACCTTCTCCAGATGAACTACTATGCCGGATTTGGTGCAGGGGAAAGTGCACATCAACCGCACTTTCTGGAGCTTGTTCTGTGATGCTTAGCCCCGCGTCTTTAAGTTTTGATCCTTGTGCAGGATCCCCGATTCGCGGCCGATCTGCTTCTCAAAGTAGATGTCCATGATGAGTTAGACGGCTTCTTGGTGTAGCCTTGCATTTCATACTGGCTTGGCGGACTTTTGTGAGACGTGCTCGATAAGGTTACGATGATTTCGTGTGCAAGGCCTTGGGGCCGAATGGTTTGGCGCTGACGCCTGTCTCTGAGGACGTCTAATGCTGTCTTTGAATTGCGAATTCGGCTGCTGCAGTTTCAAGGCTGGGCGGTCCTGGAAAAAGCTGGCGACGATCGGGGACAGGCAGGCAGCTGCGCAACGCTTGGCCCGTAGAAGCCGTACAACCAACCGAAAACGATCTTCGTGCAGCGATGACAGGATGGATACCTGTCGACACGAAGTGCGCGGTTTTGGAGTCTGCAGAAGAAAGAGTACTTGTTCCGTCCGACCCTTGCCGTGCCGCATGCAAGGGATTACTCGCACATAGCTGGCCATCCCGAATCGCGTGGTCCATGCATCCAAGGTGGGCATTTATGGGTGCCTTTCCGGGACACCAGGACTGTTGAAATTGCAGGATTGCTATCAGCTGCTATCCAGTGCTAGATGTCAGGACAGGCATCAATTCTTCACCAATGTTTCTCGGCCAAGTGGGTCCTGTGTGTACATTCCGATGGTATCCACTGGACAAGACTAGATTTGCTGGCGGCCAACAGCTCGGAGCGGGACTGGAACAGGCTGTCCAAGCACAGCGTGCAGACTGTTCCGAAAGTCGGTGCTGCCCTCAAGTGTCAAGTCTGAGAGTTCAGCTTTCAGAGATCTTGCGAAAACTGGCGACATTGCATTCCCAACAGCGCACGTTCCGAAGCCGTCCGGGGTGTCCCATCGCTGTGGCCTCGACTCTTTGGGAAATATAAGAGCAGGAACGGGCCAGAGCGCGATGATGCGGAAATCTGCGGAAGTGGGGAGAAACCACGACTCGGGCAACAAGCTGCGGATGAAAAGGATCATGCTGATGTGGCTTGAGCGCTCGACTCTAAATCCCAAAAAAGCTTGGCAAACTTCTGGGCTTTCGCCTTGTGAACATGTGCGAAAGGAATTGAGAGATCTTGCTAGATTCAGGCCAGGGCCGGGGGAGGCAGCCAGGCTGAAAGGGCAAGTCAGTCCTTACGCCACTCTTAGTGCCTTGAATGCACGAGGATTCTGGGTCATGGGCCCGTGCATCATTTCCCGCTCCATTTTCTGAATGTCAAGTTTCCTGTTTCCCGACTCGGCATTGCTGTTTCCGTGATTCTCGCCACTTTTATTACCGACTCCTGCTTCCCAAGGAGTTGTTGATTGTGAATTCGCAGAACATGTCACTCCTCGTAAATGTGGGTCCAGGCAAAGGGGTGAGCACAAAACGTTCAATACGTCATGGCCTTCCTTTGTAGGACCGTTTTCGTTCTCGAAATAGATAAATGGGCACGCACGGTAACTCGCTAGTGACTCTAGTGATTCACAGGTTCGGACAATTCCACGCCCGGCCCGCTGCACTGCAAACTGTGTTGCCGACAGAGCTCTCGGACTCTCCCAGCCAAATGTCAGTCATCGTATGTCATCGGGCTGGGAGCGAATTACTGCCGTCCAGTACAGCAGGCGCCCACCTCGACAGAGAAGACCCAGAAGGTACAAAGCAGCTTCCTCGGGTTGAACCTACTGCTGTGTGTCCGGATACCAGTGCAAAGAGCACAGCTGGCACAATGGGTCCGAGACCCATCGAGTGGCACAGGTTCCTCGTGGCGGAAGAGCGCGAGCCCGACGAACAGGCACACTCGAAGCACAGCTTGAAGGTATCATGCTCGCCCTTTTGGCCAGGGCCCGGAGACGTCCAACATTCAGAAGGCGTAGTTATGACCACGATTTGATGCACTGTGCGCTTGGTTCGGCAGCATTTATCAGGACGCTGGTATGGCATGACAGACGAGGAAGCTTCCACCCGTCCGGATGAGGCGACGTGTCTCAATCATGCTCTTTAACTAGCCGTGGCTGGCCACGTGTTTTCTCATCGGACAGTGACGCCTGCCATGTTGTATAAGTGAAACACAGAATCGACGTCCATGAGAACTCGACGGACCGGCTTGAGCAGTGGTCGCGAAACTGAAGACTTGAACCGTCAACACAAATCTGTTGGATCCTATTGAAGACTTTGAGTGAAAGTATCTTGTCAAGTGCCTCGTCACCCGTTCCTAGGTTTTGGCCGTTGGCTTCAGAAATTCATCTGCAGGCACATACTGGTGAAGAGCCTGTGACTGGCTGAGGTCTCTGTCCTGGAGCTCCTAGATGAGCTCCAGGAAAGAGCACCTGCCTGCGACCTGCACTTCTATCAATGGTTAGTGGAGTTGGTAATTCCGCTAGCCCGAGGCTGTCCAAGGTCTTCGTGGTCAGTTGAACGACTTCGAATTCAGAGCCAGCACGGGGCACGGTTGCTGCTTGCCAGTCGCTGGTGAGCCTGCATTTGCATTCTTTTGCATTTGTGGCAGAGGCTGCATGCAAAACATGCAGCAAAATCAGGTGAGCTGCTCCAGGAGATGGATGTTGCAGAGGACGACGAGGACGGACATGGACCGATGGGCATGGAAGGATTCTTATTCCGTGGTGGCCCGATCCCCTATGGTGTTCTCAGGATTTGCCTGGCCTCATGATTTACGGAGCCAGGCCAGAGAAGACCGGACTGCTGCACCACTACACCACTCCGACCACATGATGTTGTCAGGTGAGTCTGATGCTGCGGTAGATGCTGTTTCTCATCCTTCTGCTGCGACACCCTTATGTGCCAAAAAGCACTGCCGGCAAACATCTTAGAACGTCTTGCAAATCACCTCTTGGCCAGTTCTTAGACGAGATTGGAAGTGCTTTCTTCCTCGCATGGGGTGATGATAGTGAATAGAGCTAGCGACCGTCTGCTCAAGACAATTGTTAAGCTTGAGAGTGAAGCTATGTGGCATCGCACAGCACTAACACTTTCTATCCAACACGTGCTTGTAATAAAATGTGGTGTGCCGTCTAGCCATTCAGCACCCCATGTCGAGAAAGAAAGGCCACGCGCTTAGATTTACACTATCACTGGATTGGTTGCATTCTTTCCTGCAGTGCACATAGGCAAGCTTAGCAACCTGCTTGGAGATGGTGCCCGTGACGAGCAGTGCCTTTTGTTGCATTCAGCAGGTCACTTCACATGTCATCACACCATAAACCGACTGCCCCATCAGTTGAGGCTTTCCGTTTCGGAGAAGTATGCCAAGAAGTCTTCTGGTTGCATCAGCCATGGCAGATCGCTTGGTGTGTTCATGCTTCTATACATCGTGTGCTTAGGTACAACGAAAAGAAAGACAGGATCGAAGCTGCCAGGGCTGCCCAGATTTTTGCAGATGAGGATGTGGAAAACACATCCGAGGACAGATGAGAGGCCAAAGCACCGAAGCACTGAGCAGCGGACTTGACTGCAGGAATCCACGGAAGATGAGAATGCAGACTTGTTGACACAGCGCGTGGAATCGAAGATTTTCGACACCTTGACAAAAATCAAGGCTTCAGCGGCTCCGGTCGAAGATGCAGATCCAAAGCTTGCGTGCGCGAATCGTCCTGCCTGGCAGGCCAAAGACCCTTCGATCTACCGGAGCCTCTCGGCACGACTGGAACGATATGGAAAGAAATTCAGAAGCCGGCACGTGTCGTGCTGCCCTCGTTCTGTCTAGGCAGCACATCGTTCTTTGACGACGAAGATTTCAAGGATGGTGCTGGGCAAGGGCTGAACGCAGCAAGCTGCGCGGCAGATTGCGGCGCCCGTGTGTTTCATTGACTTTCCCCTCTGGCCTGAGGAGCCCACTGGAGCCGCCAAGGCAGACAAGCCGGCAACGCAAAAGATGACCTACAAAAACTTCATCAGGCACGTGGCTAAGCCAAATCCGTGCGCAAGCATCGGCTCATGAGTTGCAAGGACCACACTTATGAAAGAGGGAGCAGATGCCATCGCTAGAGAGGAGGAGAGCATGGAAACGAAGAAACGAAGGCGCAGAAAGTTGAGCACAGGGACGGCAAGACCTCTTTCGTCGGGTAGCACCAGCTTGGCAGGAAAACGCCCGCTGAAGAGCAGCGGGATTTGCAAGACGAAATTCGGCAGGCAGCCGGGACTCTGGCAACGGAGGAAGGCGAAGGCCACGAGGGGACGATGTCGCGCGGCACAAGCGGCCTGGAAAGCCTAAAAAAACTGTTGCGCAGGCGAGGATTTGTTCTCTCTCAAGGAGCAAAGTATGGAGGAAAGGCAGAGGCAGGACGAGGAGCTGAAGGGCTGAACTGCTTTGTTCAAACAATCGAGGCCAGAGGCCCCCCGGCCGGCCCCCTTTCGCTGCTCAGGAGTTTGCCAAGTTCCAGGCCAGAGCCGAGCGGAAAGGAGACAACGCCGAGGCCCGGGCCCGGCAGAGTCCGTCAAAGCACGCCTTTTTCTCACTCTGTCTGTCTGTCTCTGGTTTGGGGTGCCCCCGCGGTGGTTTGGGGACCCTGAGGCGGTGATGGCGAACTACTGGCGAGGTGACGAAGACTTGGACGAGAACGAGCGCGAAAGGCTCAGACTCTGATACTGACCCTGGCGAAGACCTATATACCGGGACACGTCGGGACACCCAAACTGACACCAATTGCACTGCGCGAGATACTCGTGGCAGCTCGGGGGATGGCCGCATGAGGCGAGAAGGGGAGGATGCCCAGGTCCCAACAGTCCTAAGAGTCCGAAGAACAAGCAGGAGCAAGTCGAGCCTGAGGAGGGCTGGCAATTTGCTGACGGACCGAAGTGGGCCGGTGAGAGAGTACTTCTGGCAACAATCCGCGGCCAGCTGGTGAAGGTTCAGACTGAGGGACATGCGAGGGTTCGCAGCGCCGTGCCCAAATCGGGCGACGATGGCCAGCAAGCAGGGGAAGGAGGCCGAGCCGCCAAATGCCCAATCCATAACGAAGGGTCAGGAGAAACTCCTTTGCTGCAGCCCAAGCAAGAACAGCGATGGTATTGATTGGCAGATCTTGGGAATTGCCAAAGCTTGCAAGCTTGGCACCGGCTTTCTCTCTGGATGTTTAGACGGAACATTGAAGATAATGTTGGCAACTCTGCATGGGGCTTTTCTGCTATCCAGCTTCAGTTGCTGCACCCATCGTAAAACTAAAAGTCTCCATCATCGTAATCAACCAACAATGCACCTGGAGCAAGGCTTCTTGCGGGATTTTGTGATAAACCGTCAGTGGTTGGAGACGGACTCGCTTCAACAAGCTCATGGCAAAGTCCTTCTGGCAAGTTTTCGATTGCGCATATAGTCGGCAAGGAATGACGCCCAAACTCTTGAGCTCCCTGTCACTGAAGCTGGTGCCAGAAAGAAGCCATGGATTTTGATGTGGAGGATGAAGAGGACGAGCATTTGGGCCAGGTCTTGTCACGGCAAAGAAGCAGCATAGACAGCTGCTCAGCAGGTAAAGGCTGAGTTGCCGGTTTGCTTGTTCAGGCAGACGAGTTTGAGAAGGAGTACAACTTCAGATTCGAGGCAGTGGATTACGAACTGGCGTATTCCACACGATAGCCAATGTTTTTCGGCCAGGTTGAGGAGGGCAAGCAGATACAAGGTCACGCGAGCCCGGCTCTGAATCACAGGGTTGAAACGAGTTACTCCGGGCTTCTAACTCTACCTGTGATCAGTACATGAGGCTACAAGAGTGCGCTACAGTGCTCTCGGAATGTCTTCTGTGAGCTGAGGATTTCCAGAAAACTCTGTGCGCGATCGGAATGCCTGAGCCCTAGTGTCATCGCACCAGGCAACAATGCGGAGTTCCAAGGCTTCTGTCATTTCTGTCCTGACAGGCAATACGCGGTCCGACAAACGACGACTAAGGCTGTCAGTGAGTTCTTCAGAAGTTACTTGCACACCACAACATCAGACCAATTATCCTATGGTACTCCTATGGTATGCTCCGCGAGCTAGACTCGGTATCTCACGACTGTGGAGGCTTGGTCGCGTCGGGCCGCGCATGTCTGCGTCCACAGTTCAATCACCGTCATAAGTTAGGCGTCAGCATCCTCAGATCCCTTCGCCCCGCACCCAGGCTCTCACCGCCTTCCCCCCGACCCATGTTGTCTCAATCCTCGTCGTACACTGCATGTTGTCCAACGACGGCACTGGAAATACAGCAGAATTTGGCAGCAAATGTAATGCCCACGACGACGAAAGGCTTCCAACCGGTGCAACCGGGTCACAACTCTGGCGAGATGACACCCCGTAACAAAAAGTTCTAGTGCATACCTCAGTCATTCTATACTCCGTCCCGCTTCAGTTGTGCAGTGGCTCTGCCCCTGCTGCCATCCTAGAGGGTTGGCAACACAGAAACAATGCACACAAACACCGAAGCCTGCTTTGCTGAAAACTTCACAAGACGAAGTCCTGCCGATGGTCCTTTCGGCAAGAAGCTCCTTGCCCGAGCTTAGCTGCAGCGCCGCTCCTGCCTACTGAGGAAAAGAGAAAGCGCCAACGAAAGGAGCGAGCCGATCGAAAGGAAGCCGAGAAGGCCAAGTTGGTATTTCAGAGCTTGAGCGCCCATCCTGCTTTCTGTAGAGGTTTGCTTTCAGGCAGCCCCACCCGACATGCCAATGCCGGCTTCTTTTCTTCCTAGACCGCAAACCGCCCCGTTCCTTTTCTGAGCCCGAAGAGAAGCAAAATCTCGGTGTAGTCCAGGGCATGACATCACTGCCGGAAAGCTGCGAAAATCAGACCCCAATCGCTAATCGCAAAATCGTCATGCAACCTCGTGGTTCTCGGGCCAGAGATTTGAAAGATCAATCTGCTTCGTTGTGAGCATAGGTGCGAAGAGCGGAAGAATTGAAGAGGCTGAAGAACTTGAAGAAGCAGGAGCACTTTCCCGTAGTCGAGATACAGCACTGAGGGTAGAGGGTAGCCTCGGTATGCTCTGTGAAGATGACGCATGAAGGAAATCAAGCGCAGACTTCAGCAAATCCGAGAAGTAACGGGCAACGAGGTCAGCTCTGCAAGTTGGAGTTCTGCTGTACTGCTGCTTTGTGCAACAAAAGCAGCAGGATTCCATTCTCGGCCCAGCAGACCTGGACGATGACTTCGACCCATCTGAGCATGATCAGACTATGGACTTGGACTTAGACCCGAAGTAGCGGATTGAAGCGCCCAAGACCTACGCATTTGGCTCTTGCGTCGAGGCCAAGATCTTGGGTCAGGACTACGATGAGAAGGAAGAAACACTTACCTCCAAGGAGCTGCTCGGAAGGCTGCAATCTGAAGGTTGTGGAGCATGAGACGTTTTGACAGGAGCTCGTGCGAGGACCCGATGGCTGCAAGGAGCTGGACGTCTCGGCTGCTGCAACCGAGGGTTTGCGGCCTCTCGGCAAGTGAAGCAGAGCTGAATGGCTGAAAGGATGCTGCATGGTGAAAGCATCGGATTCTCCAAGGAAGCACTGGGGTGTCGGCTCGCAGGCCGAGACGACGGAGGCCGCGGGATGTCGTGGCTGCCACGTGGAGCGTCGCATCATGGCAGGGGTGCCGACAGATCGAAAATACAGCGCCCCAATGTTCAAAAGCTACTGTGAAAGAAGCCGAGAATGTGGCGAACTGTGCCATAGTGCACCGAATATCGAAAGAAAGCCAGCAACACAGCAAGCTGGGAGGTCTACACCAGAATTGTCATGCTTGGAGGGGGAGATGTCGGAAGATTGACCGTGGAAAACTGCAGCACTGCGCCGACGACAGTGTCAAATGTGGCTGGAATATGGGTAATCCGCCGGCATCGCGCAGTCGCACCGTCGCTATTTGCAAAACAAACCTGACTTGCACAGCCGCTAGGCAAAGAACAGTCGGCAGACACGAACCCTCCACCGGCAGGGTGACAGCAGCTGACGTGTTGCAAAAAGCTTATAAAAGCTTCCGAAAGGTGTCTACGGCCAGTTGATTGGGGTTCTTTCATGTTCTTCGTTTCGGGGCAGTCCATGGCAGGATTTCTTTGTCCTCCAAGTCCAACGGTATCTAACTCCGTCACAGGATGCAGAGGCGCCTGCCGCGACGGAGGCGATGTTCGTGAACGAGCCGAGTAAAAAAGCAGAAGCTGTGCTTTCGTGAGAGGAATGGCTTGGAAATGTGCAGGAGGAAGGTGATGAGGACGACGAGGAGGTGGTTGAGTGTCGCAATACTAAAATGAAAAGCCCATTCATTGTGATCCCCTGTCGGGCTACGCCTCATGACTGCGCAGGTGCACCCTGACTTGTGGTTCCTGTGCGACGGATGCCAAAAGCCGATTCCGGGTGGAAAGCGTCGCTTTGCAACTCGGCCGGACTATCTGCGCAATTCGGCCTTTGCTGGTTTCAGACAGCTGTGATTTGGCTCGACATGGTATGAGCGGGGGAAGCGTGAGGATCCAGGCGTCGGGCGACAGGCAGTCGTACGATTCAGACCTTGCATGAAAGCGTGAACCTGTACATCTGAAAAGTGTTTAGGCTTCTGCTGCCTAAGGACTGCAAAGTCTGCGACAATTTCACGTACAAGCCCCTGTTGTTCATGAACCGGCAACGATGCACATGCAGCCCTTTGACCGCGGTCGGAAGATGGAACAGTTTCCAGCCCAGATTTTGGGTCAGGTTGTGTACGAAGTGCTTCCGGGTACGACGACATCCCCATTCCTTTGTTCGACGACGTGTCCCGGAGAGTTGCATGCCCCCAGAGGACAAAGACCTTAAGACTCTCGGATTTCAAGGGCTACTGCAGATGCAATCACTTGTCTGAAGCCCTTGAGCCGGCTCAGATTCTGGAAGCAGGATGTGAAGGGCGCGCAGGTCGGAGCTGGTGACACAGGCATTGGCAGTCGCTGTTGTCTCTGAAACAACTCAGTCCCGTAACTTCAGGCTCCGGCGAGATGCTGGAAGAGTATTTTCAGCTAGACTACGAGGACTAGACTTGCTTCGCAAGCCTGTATGTCTTGTGCTCTAGGAGGAGAGTTGTCTCCAGATGTGGGGGATTTTCTGAAAAGAGGATATACAAACCAGGCTCGCTTGCGAATCGCAATTCCGCCTTGACTGGCAACTACGAGGTCCTGAATGCGAAAACTTAAAACAGAGAACTTGCAGGAGCAGGCCCAACTTGCTTTTCAAATGCCAGGAGTCGTCGACATTCCATGCAGCCTCAAACATGTGCCTGAAGTCGTTAGGGTCCACAAAGAAAGCTTCAACCAGCTTTCGTTCCAGATCCAGTTCGGCTTGGAGCATGGATGGGCAACAACCGGACGATGGACGGGAAACGACTATAGGACTAGGAAAGAGACTGAACTCGGAGCAGCTTGGGCACCGAGATACCTCGAGTAACAAGTGCGAGAGCCACGTAAGTGCGGCGTGCATCGTTCCAACGATTCGTTCTGCCAACTTGTGCGTGGCTTCATGTCATACACCCTCAGCCCTCAGCTCTCTCGATCGCTGGATCGTGTCTTGCTGTGCACTGCCGCATTTGCAAACCCGTTGGCCGAGCAAACAATAATAATGAAAAGGCCGCCAAGCCGCTGCCATTGCAGGACATCATCGGCGGAGATCTGCCAACGAGATTCAAATACCGCAAGGTGCAGCCCAAAGACTACGGCATTCCTGCGAATGTCATCCTCTCCAAGACAGGTTGGGAACAGGGATGACCATGGACACGCGGCGCCATCTGGTCTATTGTCCGACATCCTGTCAGGAAAGGAACTAAACCGCATGGTCTCCATCAAAAAGCTTCGCCCGTATCGAGAGGAGGGCCAGGCGGCACGTGACAGCAAATGATCATGCGTTGTCCAACCCTTTGCCTTTGTTCGGCTGTTCATGTGCATGTGTTCGCAAAGCGAGCATTAAATGGCCAGGCTGAGTGGGAAGGCCGTGGTCGTGGTCGGGGCAAGGCAGGTGCAGGCCGTGGACGCCGTGGACGCGGACGAGGCGAGCAGAATGGCGAGGAGGACCGATCAGCTTTTGGTAGTGCAGCATAGTGGCACGCGCGCATCTGCAGAATTCAGGCTGGGGCTTCAAGCACATCGAGCAAAAGCAAGCTGCCACTCTGCTTTGTTTCGCGCTGCCTAAGGTCCATCATAAGGCATAGATCACCGAAAGCCCTTTCAAGTTAAGCCTTTGGGCGTCACACCCGGAAGGGCCGAAGGCGGGTTGCATGAGACCCCGTCCATGGTAGCATCGAAACTTCATCTGATGCGAAATGAAGAGATGACGTCACCTTCTGATCAGCAGCAGCTCAGTAGCAGAAGCGAGCAACATTTACAGCGTGTTGAGGTCTTAGTCGACAGGCTCGAGATCCTGCGATGTTCGTTTGATGCCTTCCAGCCGATTGAAACACTCGGCCAGCTCTGGGGGACTGTGTGCAGTAGGATACCATGAGATCCACCAGACAAGGTAAAGGCCAATCATGGGCAAACATTGCGTCACAGTCCAGGGCAGATGGACACCAAGACGTGGCTGTTCGAAGAGCGACTGTGCGAGACAGCTTCGTGATAGCACAGACAAACCCAGGAATCGCGTGGCTTCGAAGGCTTCGGCAGCGAAAACGGTGAGTTCAAACCGGATACAGGCATACAATTTGGAGAATGACAAGTTTGCCCGCAAGCTTCCCAGAATTCACTCGGCATCAGATTCAGAGGGCATCAACGTCCTGCTCGCAGAGCGCCCAGGTCGAGGTGAAAGGAAACTGAAAGGCCTGCGATGCTCCGATCGAGCTTTGATGAGCTCTGCCTGCCCAGACCTTGCCTGCAAGACCCTGAGATCCAAGATGTGCGATAGGCAAGCGTCAAAATGAGAAGGGCTAAATATGCCAGAGGCTCAGCTTCCAATGTGGCCACCGGTAAAGTACCCACCGAAGCATTCCGGAAAGGTGCGAGTTGAGACACTCCCACTGAAAGCACGGACAACTTGGAAAGCTGGTACTCGCCTTGAGGTTTGGGCTGCACATGATCGTTGTACATAATATTAGGATGCAATCTCCAGATCGTATGTGGACTGCACGGTTCACGCAGAGACATTTCATGCCGACATGACTTTGGCGTGCACATTCTCAGGTCGAAGGAAGAAAGATCGCCGGGTGAATTGCAGCCTGATTCTGCTTTGTCACAGACTGGCTTTTGCAAAGGTCAAGCACCTCCGCCCATACCATATGGTTGAGGGGATAACGACCCTCCCTGATCTTCAAGAGCTTGGTGGAGCACGGAAGAGTTCGAGATCAGCCAAGAAGCGCTACGATCTACAACGCAAAGATCGTTTCGTAGCGTCAGAGCAAAGGCGTGCTTGGAAAAATTTAGTCCTGCTCATCTCGGCAGAAGTGCCTTGCCATAAGCCATAAGCCGTCCGGCTGCACGTGCTGCACTGTTCAGAGCCATCGGCCGGGCTCTGCGGGCTTTGCGGGCTCAAGGCTTTGCGGGCTAGGCCGCTAGGCCGGCTCGGGGCTGAAAAGTGCGGGGGACGACCACGAGGCCACAAGGCCGAGCCCCTACAAAACACACTTGGGGGGCGATTTTTGGCTATCATAAGCCGCTTCTTTGAGGCAGCTTCCAGGCAATAGCAGGCACCTTGTTACACCGTGTTCTTGACACATGTTCACGACGGTTTCACTTGCTCGAAAGAGCTGCTGACAGACATTCTGTTGCAGCTCGGTGCTGCAAGGCCGATGCTGAAATGGTCTGGCGACTATTCTCTTCCCCGTCTTCGAGTGAGAGACACAGCTGGAGACATTTTTGTGTTTAGCCCCTTTTCATCCTGGGCCATTTGCTGCGCGAACTTCCCAAGCCGTCGTCGTGAGTTCCTACAAGGAACAAACAGGGACCGCAACCTGTTCGCCGTGGTATCCCCTAAGACTCAGACCTTCATGCACGGCATCGCATTTGTTTTTGGCTTTTCGGAGCTGGGGGTTCTGATGATGAGTGCCGGTCGGAGATTTTCAGTGGTGCACCCATTGCAGGCAAAACTTGCAACCACCGGAGCTGGCACGGAGCAGACAGAGCCCGACTATGCAGAAGTGTACCGTCCGGCATTCGACTTAGACTAGACAGTGGGCGCGGCTTGAGAAGCTTCCTTGTCGCCCATTGACAGGATTTGGGGCAGAGCACCATACTGCGGAAGGACCTTGCCTGCAGCACTCTCGGAACATGCTCTGCTCCCTTTGACACGCAGCGGCCGTTGCACAGGGCTGCTAAGGGCTGGAGGGTCTGAATACTGGCTCCGCATGGTCGTCTTCGGAAGCCACATGCCACAATCTACAAGTTTCTTCGGAAGCACACCCAAGGCCTCCAGTGGATTTGAAGCTTCGGCCTACGCTGTACCCGCGCCATGTGCGAAAACAGAGAGGGCAATTTGTTAGCACTGTGACAATGAGAGCCGTGCTTCCTTTCTATCCTTGTACTGCAAGCAGCACCCCGCCCGAAGGACCCTCCATTATCACGCTCCCACCATCGCTTGTGTCATGACTGTCGGTGAGGCGATTACTCACTACTCTCGACAACTGGTGGAAGTATGCCAACCAACGGTTTCTCATGTCAACACGGAGCAACTCACACCGGCCCAAGCTACAAACAAGATTACACAAGTCCGGCTGTGCACAGAAGCGGCAAGCGTTGCATGCTCTGGTCGTGTTCCCAACATGGGCAGCATTGTGCTGTACTTTGTGCGCCCCTTGCTTGCAGGAATCGCCGGAGTTTTTTGCGGCTGTTGCTGAGACCGGTCACTCGCCAAGATCTCGCTGATTTGGAGTGACATTCGCTCAGAGCTGCAATGTGTAATCCCAGAATTGTAGAGACTCTTCAGGGTCGTAGAAGATACGAAGGGCAAAAAGACATAACGAAGGAGGAAAGAGCAATCGCTTACGGTTCCTTGATCATTGGGCGCAATTGAGGTGGATTCGAAGCCTTTGCCCGCAGTAGCGGGTGTCGTGTTCTGAGGAAGGTGCGCTGGAAGCCTAACTTTTCTCCACTGGGCAGTGCAAATTCCATTGAATGTCAGGGTGCATCCCGCTCCTTCGTCAAGACAGGCAGTTTGGCTGGAAGGACGCGGGGTTCGGAAGCTTGGCCTGGACATGACATTGCAGCCCAGTCTGTCAACAAACAAGGCTCGCCCAACGAAATCCCGGTTTCACTAAGTTGGTATTGACGGTATGTCAAACCTGTGAAGTTAGCGCCGCAAACTTGATCAAACCATGTTCTGCCCGCCGGTCTTACCTCTCGAGGGTGAGCTCTGGGGTCATGCAGAATCCAAGGACTACACCTGCATAAGCCTGCACTGCACTTTTTTGTGCGGCAAATAGAGAGACAGAGGCTCAAGTGCTGCACCTTTGCTGAGGGGCCTGTACCGCCTCTTGGCATCGGGGGGGGAGCGCGAAGGTTAACCGGAGGTTGTGCCCTCCGGGGAGCCGGAGCGTTAACCCCAGCGGTGCTTGAGTCACACGCCGCAGCTCATTTTGTTTAAGAGGCCCGAGGGGTTTGCGCTTCACGGGACCCCTTGACCACGGCCCTCCTCCGGGAGGTGGCCCGTCAGAGGGGGGGACCGCCATACTACTTCCTCGCGGAACTGAAGGCAATCGTCCTGGAAGGGATGCAGTGCAGACTATGTCGTGAAGCCGGGGGGATCTGCAGGCCTGGTATAAGGAAAGTGCATGTGAGAAGTGATCCTGCGTGTCGTTTGCACGGTGTGACAAGCAGAGCCAATGTGGCAGTGGCATCCCCTAAAACAAAGGGGAAACCACGTGAGACACAACAAAGCCAAGACGGGGGAGAAGCTAGCTCCTCTTCCAGGCGAGCACCAAGCCTTGGGGGGATGGTGCAGCATGAGACAAAGGGAGGGCTTCACCTGCTCTTTCACCCAAGCCCGCTCGACGCATGGATCGGGCGCAATGTGCAACAAGACGAAGACACTGGCGAGCTCTATGAGGGGGGGAAGGCGTTGGGGGAGAATGACCAGGAGACCTACGCTTCTTATAGGGGGAGACTTCTCCAACGGCGAGCCCTCGGAGCAGCTGCAGATAAGCTGGTGAAGATAACAGACAAGCTGTTACCCAGGATTGCCAATGAAACACGCGCTTTCGTAATGCGCTTCCCACACCGCATTCCGAGACTCCTGAAGGACGCCCGCAGGCTGAAGAAGAAGAAGACTCAGAAGACTCAGCAAACCAAGCGGGGGAGACAAGGGCAAGCCCAAGCAAGCCGCACGCCACGTCCTCAGGGTGCGCTTTGTAGGCTTTGTGGTCAGGCATACAATACTGTGCTACCTGGAGAGCCTGTGATCCTGTGCCAAAACACTGATGCGTTGCAACGACCTGTCAGTTTTCTACTGAAGGTAGCGCGCAACCCATCCACGTGCCCTCACACTCTTCTGACGAGTTTGAGCGTGTTTCCGGAACAAGCAAGCATTACCAGAGGCTGCACGGGAGACTGTGGGACCCGCCGCTCCCGCACCTATGCCAGCGGAGAGGGACGAAGAGACTCCGCCCGACTGGGGAGGAACCACCGAAGACGACAGCGGGGACGACGAGGAGCCAGACGCAAGTGGTGATGTGCAGTGGCCGTGGGGACCCGAAGGCAGACCGTCAGACCGGGAGACGAACCCAAGACGTCCTTCCGAACCGGTGGGGGAGCCAGACAGCCACAGGACCTTCGGCCAGCTCCGGAAAAAGCACGCGGACCGGAGGGGAAGTCACATGCCAAGCGAACGCGACCTCCTCCAGTAGGGGAACCACACGGGACAGGGGGAAGACCAGCCGTCGCCCTGATCCCGAACCTACGTCACCAGGTACAAGAAGTACAGCAGCACATGGCACGCAACAGAGGGGAGGCGACACGGAAGTGAAGAACTGAGACAGAGTGAGCGTGGCAAAAAGTTTTCCAGTGACGGCCGCAGCGGGGGATATAGTGGAGGGCCTTTCGGATTTCGGTTGTGTTGGTTCAGGGCTCTTTCTGGCTTGCTGACCTCCCCTATCCGCCGTGACCGTACCGCCCTCACACTGCAGCTTTCAAGCAGACTTTTGGGGGATACCTCCATAATTCAAAACGGGCCGCTGGAGCCACACAAACCTATTGCCACCGGGGCCGTATGCCCCATCATGCACCGTATGCACACAATTGGCATCGAGACTGAGACCTGCCGACCTTTTCGCTCAACCCTTTAACAGGAAACCTAGATGGAAGCTTTTCGCAGCCGACCCCACGATCCTGTTTGCTTGCTCGTTTTATAGTACTTTCCCTGTTGTTCAGATGCTATCGTCCTGGCCTTAGCTGTTGTTGGTACTGCAAACAAAGGGGGACCGGCCACATACCGTTGTACTTTGTTTGGGGGAGGCGTCTGGCGAAGGTACTAAGGATTCTGCCATAGAGGGCGCGGGGACGAGGCCGGGATGCGGGCTAAAGTTCAGGGTCGGGGGATGTTCGCCAGACGTACTCTACCACACAAGCCAACCAACGGGAACAACCCCTAGCGCTTCGACCCCAAAGCCACTCTCCCACCTTCGTTTAAGGGAGAGGGGGGCCTAGGCCCGGGTCTTCCTGGAAGACCCTACCCTCAAGAAGCGAAAGCGAAAGCGAAGAGAGAGAGAGAGAGAGAGATGCTACTAGCAATGGTAGCGGAGCTGTGATCGAGGGAACCTTTCCCACTGGATATCTGATCTGCGTCTGTCCTGAATGGAAGCAGCAGCGGCTACCACCTCTCGGACTGGACATCGTTTTAAATGAGCGAGGGTGGCCGATTCCGTTCTGGCCGCTGAGGGACAAGCCGCACAACCTTCACTGCGTCGTGACCTGTTGGAAGGCCTCAACCCCATTTACAAGATCCACGGCTCCGAGGACTGTGGCAAACGAAAGGACGCAAGTGTGCCGGTGGTGGATGCCGAGCGCCTCTATGTCCTGCACGTATGCTTGCTGCGGACACGCGGGCCTTGACTGCCCGAGACAAAATCAAGGAGCTTGGAGGCTTGGAGGGGAAGGGAGATGGGTGTCACCCGAGCGTATCCGAGCGACAATATGCCGACAGCCTCAAGGCGAACCCCAAGCTCATCGCCGATCACGGAAGACCGAGGCAGGACAGGGTTGCCGCCGCCTAGCACGCGCTCGAGGACACGCCCCTGTCGTCTACGAAGCGACGTGATGACATACGAGGCGAGCTCCCACATCTTCCTGCCAATCCTCATCACCCTCTTTCACGGTCTACGTGTTTCTTACGGTGATCTGCTGAGACCCCCGATCTCGGAGTCCAGACTGACCCCGAGCCCATCCTGGTCACACCAGAGCACGACGCCCGGACACAGCGGAGACGCAAACCGACATCCACTACATTTTCCGCCAGATCCCCCAGCCAAAGACCGTGATCGGAAGAGGGTGCCAAACACAGAGTCTGCTGCACTGCACCAGTCATGGCTGATCAGCAGCCGGCTGCAGCTGGCTCGGGATTACGGTGGGAGGTTGGACATACCGGAGACATGCATACCTGACGGCCGGGTTTGGCATGCCAGCCAGGCCGGTGCTGTCCTGTGCTCGGAACTGCATATTCCGTGCGCATGTTGCCCCAATCAATGGATCCCGGCCCCGGGTTTGTAGACTCGTGCCGCCGTCTCGTGTGCGGTGGGGAGTGGCGCTTTTTAGCATCTTTTCATTGGCAGCATGCTTTCCAAACAAGTCTTCGTATCAGTACTTCAACCTAGGACCCACGTCGAGTAGAAGTGCTCTGCTATGGGCAGCAGCCGCTTCCGGGTTAAGGTTTGGGGCCGGGGCGTATACTGCTTACTTACGGTTCAGACTTTTCCCAAACTTGCTGGGCCCCACAGGCCCACGAAACAAATGCGGCGGTCTTCGTAATCATGGAAGGGGTCGCGAGGAAGATGGAGGAAGTGTTCAGGCGGTCGAAATAAAGACATGGCAGAATCAAAAGCAGAATGCAGGCCCAAGAAACGACATGCCCAGTCCTGTTCACGCAGTCATTTCTGCTTCGTAGCCGTCATTCCTTTAACTCACCCAGAGCCCTGGTACAGTCGAAGAACCCTTGTCCGTGTCTAGACGCGAAAACGTTTTGCTTCGAGTATGTATACATGGCGCATCATAGAGATTTAGGCCGACTGGGAGGAAGCATCTGGAAGTGTCTGTAAGAATAGCGTCGTGGAGAATGTCAGATAATGGCCAGTGTGCATGTGCAGCATGGGCGAACAGTGAACACTTTACGCAGCAGTGACTCCACTCTCAACTGCACAACAACGGCACGCCCGGGAGAGGTGGGCACGTATGGATGTCAACATCGCGGTGAGCTTGGGTTTTCAGACTCATCAGGGCTGGACAACCTTGGCTTCCGCTCACCCGCCGCAACTTCAACACATCGTGGCTTGCAATTTTTTTGAAGTTGACAGGACATCGCTCGGCCAGTCCAGCAAGATGAGCGGCTTCGAAGATTTCAGTCAGACGGCCATGTCGCTTGCTAAGTTGCATGCCGGCTTGCGTGCGGTGCGTTCAGCCGTTTTCCAACGTTTTCCACAGTCGCCCCCAGGATGCGGACGAGATCAGTTCCAACTTTGGGATCTCGCACGGCGCGAAGACTCAGTGCCAACCAGCAAGTTAATCTCGGTGCGCCATAATTGCTGACAGTGATTGCCAGCGCCGTGCAGGTCGAGAAATGGCCAGCAGCAGTGCAACCGTGCCCCGCTCGGTGAAGGTATTGTTGTGTAGCTCTTTGCATTCCTTGTGGGCATGCGCAAAGTGCCTAAGGCTGCCTCCTACCTGGCATGTTTCTTCAACCTCTAGTTTGCCTGGCCTTGCGAAATCAAGCTCGAAGACAAGAGCTCAGCCGATGCCTAGAACAAGCGGCGGAGGTGCAATAGCATCACACGAGACTCGCTTCACGTTCAGGGGTTCGCTTGGCTCGAAAACGGCCAGCGTCTCGATTTGCTCGTGCCACAGACTGCTGACGTGCCGCAGCCTTTGCTGAGGTAGCTGCCTCTCCTTCATCCGATGATCCGAAAGAAAAGCAGGAAAGGTTTGTAATATCTGTATTGTTGCAAAGTCGTGCCCGCGCAGATCGAAGCAGCCTGCAGAAAGCTTTGGACGGCTGTGCACGGCAGCGAGAAGTACATCAAGGCAGACCTGCACATTTCCTGCTTGTTAGATCCTGCTTCTTCACAGGATGAGATCAAGAGGCTGCAGAAAGAAGAGCCTGGAGCAACTAATCAGGTGGCAACAACCGCATGCGTGAGCTTCCGGCCACAACTTTGCCCGAGCCTCTTTCTCAGGCATTTCTTGCCAAGCTTAACAAGGCCGACAGTAGCTTTCCATCGGTCAAGAAGGCCAGAACGGTGGAAGTAATCTTTAGCGAGAGATTTGGTACATGTGAGGCTCTCAAGACAGGGGCTAAAATCGATTGGAGAAACCCTGAGTCGCCGCCTCGGACGGCGAGCCACGAGCATCAGAGTCCATCTTCCCGGCTGTTGATCGAAGGCTGCACATTTGTGAGTGCTGGCGAGGTGGGATGGAGCAACGCTCTTGCTACGAGCAGCACGCACTGGCTCTCTGGAGCTTGCAATGTCTGCCGGGCAGAGTTATGTCAAGTTCATTGAACAGGTCACTGATGTCCCTTGCACGCGATGTCCCAGGCAAGCCCATGCGAAAGAGTCACCGTTGTGACCAGGTTCTGCTTATCGCAGCAAGCCAACATCGCTGAGAAAGATAACTCTGGAAGAGGGGTGCCGTGCTGAGTTGTTTCTGGGTGGGGACCAATGGCATATTGCGTTAGCACAGCAACCCACGGAGTACTCGCTAATGCCAGTAACCGATACTAAAAAACTAAAACACAGTGCGCATGTCCCGGGACTGAGCAGTTTCGAGGTCTTGCACTGGGCAGCTTTATCTGGCAACAACTTCTTGATGCTGTGTGCTCAGCGGACACCGTTTCTCGCATCCTGCCAAGCACGTGAATCCAGGCACTACTTCCTCACGGAATATCGAGAACAACTCAACGTTGTCCAGGAAGATGGCACCGAACCCAGAGCGATTTCCTTCTCTGCCTGGATTGTGCAACTGTTCAACTTCAGCGTTTAGACCCGAATAAGGGCAGTGGTCAAAATACCTTGTCGCAAAGTCTATACAAAACAACCTATTTGATTGTTCGAGTCTGTATTTTTATTTACAAAAAGAGGCGTCACGGAACTAGGGCTTCTTAATCCCCTGGCTGGCGCTGGGACAGCGCTAGCCTGGCGCTAGGGATCTAGATAGCAAGTGGTTCGTGATATATTCAATTTAATTACTAGCTTAGAGTATATGATAAGTCCTTACACTGTTTACTCCTTCTCTACTCCTACACCTAATATCTCCTACTCGTACTCTGAACTCCTACTTCGACTCCTGCTCCTACTCCTAATCCTACTCCCACTCCCACTCCGCATGGTGTTGTTGCCACGGCAACTGCTACTGCTCCTGCTGCTGCTGCTACCAAGGTTTAACCTCCTGCGGACTAAGATGTCACTCCAGTCCCGCATTGCTTGAAGAAGCTTCTTTCCTCGCAAGTAACAGTGTTCTTTTCATTCGCATAAGCATCATGTATCATTGCCATCACAGCTGAGCACAAGATGTGTGATAACATGGGCAATCCGCGCTAGCAGCGCGCTAGGAAACTTGTCATTTCTGATGCCTAGCCCATCCTTCTCATCTACACTAGTCTACTGATGTCTACTGAACCATGTTGACGTCAGCTGAGTGCCAACCCCTGCGAAATGCTGGCCGTGACGCCTACTTCAAGGCCCATGGCAAGGATGATTGGCTCGTGCATGCAGACAAGGAGGTTAAAGGTGAAGGAGCTCACTGTTTGGAAACGGAAAGTGTGCAATATCGTGAAATCTTGCTTACTTCCTACTCCTTTACTTCACGGGTCAGAAGCTTTTCCGAAATTTCCAATCCTCAAGACTAGCCTTGGGCCAGCCTTCACCCCACACATGTGGCCACTTGAGATTTGCAATCGAGAAGTTAGAACATGGAGTTCTGTTCTGTCGGGGCAGCGTTTCTCTCTTTCACAAGAGGCGTCATGCAACTAATTTCGGTCAACCTCAGGAACAACAATATTGAAGTCTGCGCGTCTAGTGAGTCGCCATCGGACTGGCTTCTTGTGCTCCATCCTGCGGCTCGAAGTCTCGATATCTTCACCACCCGCCGCCACTGAATCATGCGAAAGAAGAGGCGACACGACAAAGCATCAATCATGCTTGCAACTGCGGTGTGCGCGACCCGGATCTCGGTACGGACTGGAGTTGGGGTCGAGGCCTTTCCTCGAGGAGTGCCGCTCAGGCTGAGGTTCCGGCTTGCAGCTAAGGCTTTGGTGTGGCCGCAGCCGTGATTCCAATGAAACGTGCTACCTTTGACCGAACCAAGCTCGAGAGGAAGATGCAGGAAGAAACTAGAGAATTGTGAGATGAAGGGGGAGTGACCTCAGCTACCCAAGGAAGTTGTCCGAGTCCGAGTATAGTATGCACTTGATGCATTTTCAAGACGGCACGCACTGCACAATCCGCTTCCTGAGCGGTTTGTCAACTTCAGACATTTCTGTGGGTCGGACGAGCGGGCAAGTAATATGCAACCGAGGCATCGCTCCTTAGATTGATGCCGCTCTTGCACCTGACGAAAGTTAAAGTCGTGACGGCTTCCTGCTTCCTGGTGTTTGTTGGCTGTTGGTGTAGTGTGTGTAGGATTCGGAAGAGGTGGACCTGTCAGCCACGATATGCGTAAAGCTGGCGGGGTGTGGGAAGGGCCTTGCGAGGGAGGTCGGCGTCCTTGCAGAAAAGCCCAAACTGTCATGGGCTTGCGCATGTGGACAGGATGACATCGGATTTCGCTTGGCCTGCGTGGGGCTGATCGAATCTTTAGCACTCATTGTCCGGCTTCGGGGAACTACGCGGGAACTTCACCAGCCGTGCCAGGCTTGGCGCGGCACATATGCAGGCGCATGGATCCCGAAAGTGATAGGCTCTTGAAGGTTCACATGGGTTCCGCTTGCCAATGTGCAGGACTGGCCGATCGGGGTAAATGTTGCTAGCCGGGAGCTACTGTACGCAAAGGAGGACTTGACGATATCAGCCGCGAAAAAACTGTGGCAAGTTAACGTTCAGCCATCAAAACTGAGCAGAGACATTGGCAGAACAGCTGGGCAGGCACAGGGCACGGCATGTTCTGTCCGAAAGGTGCCAGAAGACGTGAATTTATAGTATTTGATTCCGCGTGTCGGGCGTGGGGTTTGCCGGTGCCGGACCCTTGGCAATCTTTGGAACCTCGCAAGTCCTGATTCCTCCTGGAATTCCTGGACCTCCTTGTGATCCTCGGAAACCTAACCCACTCATCCCCGACCGGGAACCATCCGGAAGCAGAAGCTGGAAAATTGCACATTCTTGAAGGCTTTATGCAGGTCATGCTTTCACCAGCAACGTGTAGCTGCAAGAGTTTCTTTGCACGCCTGCCAAGTCTCGACTCCACAACTCGAGAGAGCGGCCGCAGCCGCGAACTGCCACCAACAGCTCGTTTGCTGATGGACACTGTCCGCTAATCCCAACCTGACCTCTTCGGGTGGGCGGGAGGGCTCGGCATGCCTCGGCGTGCCCCGCTCATGGTCACATGCAGCCATAATTAAAGCAAAAGGACCCCCCAGAACCCGGACCCTGTGCCGAACCCGAGGAGAAAAACGCACCAGGATTTCCGCGGCACCCAGCTCTTGAACGTATGTCTCTAGCATCTTGGCGAGACAGAAAGGTTGCCCCGCCAGGCCTCAAGGAGGAAGGCAAGAAAGTGCAAGCACGAAAAACCTCAGTTTGCAGCAAGTCAAACCGGTGTTTAGAAGCCGACCATGAACCATTCCAAATCTTCCTCCACTGCGGTGTGGAGCCCACCATCATCGCAACCCAGCTGGGGACGTGCTTCTCGAGTTCGCAGCTCGGTGCCGAGTCTTTGGTTGATTCACCCGAATGTAAAGCACATCGCCTTCGAAGTGATCGCCTGGAAGAAAAGGTCCTGTCTGCGTAGCCCAATAAGCTCTGCAGGTCTCAACAGTTCAAAAAACTCGAGCACCAAGAGCACCGCCATGCGATGCCACTCCCAGCATAGAGCAGTAACCACAAGAGCATGCAAGACTTGGATTGGCATCGGAGGATGATGCTGCACTGGTTCCAAGCCCTCCCACGTCCTGATGAGACCCCAAGGCCCTGCAAGCGAGGATTTCAGCCAACCAAAGGTTTGACTGATGCCATTCAGAGTCTCCGCTGCTGATCGCCGACTTTTGCCTTCCAGATACATGGAGATCAAATATTCTTCGAGCCACTCGGATAAAACGTCTATGTGCCCTCGCGCTAGAGCCTCCAGGGAAAAGCCAGGATTCTTGGGCGTCAGCCAATCCTCCAGCTCTCTCAACAGCTTGACGCGAATCCGATGAGTCTCGGCTGTGATTCTCCTCTGGTCAACAGCTCCCTTTGGCGCTCGCCTTGTGGAGCCGGTCGCGGAGCAGCAGTCAGAGGCACGCAAGAGCAGAGCACCAGCCAGGAAAACCAGCGATTAAAGGCCCTTGGCAAGCCTTCCAAGTCATCCAGCACTTCACTGGCTTGAGTTCGACAGAGAACCATGATGGCAGAGGTGTAGATTTGAGGGAGCCTGAGAACGGCTGGGGGCATCCGCGCGAATTGACCACGTGGGCAGGTGAACTCCTGACACGTAAAGGTTCTTGCGCAACAAATAAGCAGCTTCAGTCCGCATGACAGCGTTCAACGCCTCCGAAGGACTACGACCCTTGCCTAAAGCCTCCAAGTTAACACGACTGTCCTGGCAAATCACAACTCGCTTGTCACGCGGTATAAACGTTTAACCATACGGGCCTTCGACTCCTGCAGATTCAGGTGGGTGCGATTGCGGAAAGTGTACTGCGTACAAGTTTTCCAAACAAGACCTTCCGAAAGCTGCACCGCCCACAAAGCCGAACTACGCTTCCGCCTACCCTTCTGACTCCTCTCGCGCCTCACTCCGAAAGACCTCCGAACTCGGAAGCTCATCCCAGCTGTCCTAAGCACACGACGCAACCCGCTCACAGAAGCTGAGGCTATACTCCCCTGAACCGTTCGTCAAGCGACCCTGAAGCCTCTGATGTTGATGATGGTGGCAGCACTTCAAGCCAACGCATTTTAAAACAAGCGTGTTAGTAAGGACAATCGTGGACTTACGGTAAGGACGGGAATACCGGCACCAATCACTCTGCACTTCAATGCAACCTCTGCGCTTCAAAGACTCCCAAGCACACTTAATAGGTAACCCTACGAGACCTTCCTAGATGCTCCGGTTTCGGAACCACCCATGGGAAAGGAGGAGGACGTGGGAGGAAAAGGTTCTCGCTGTCCACCGGCCACTTCAGCAACAACAGATCCACATCGTCGCCCTGAGCATTCACGCACCTCAGGTTCAAACTTCCCCTTTCGGAAACTGGCATGATGCCCCAAAGCAGTAGGCTTCGGCTTCCACCAAAGAGGGGAAGGCGCGGGAGACCACTCCAGGCCTCCAGCGACCAATCTTGTCCTTGACGGCCTCGAAGTACTGCCGGCTGCTGCGAGTGACTCGGGGCCACTCTCCCGAAAAATCGTAGAGGCGAACGATTTTGGATGAGGAAAGGCTCAGTCGGCCTTTGCTTGCCCCCGTCAAGGGCACTCTGGCAGTACTCTGGCCGTCTGACTGTCCCAACTCGCATGCTCGAACAATCCTTTTCTCTGGGGTCCAGTCGCCCCGAGGAGCCAATCGAGACCGCCAAAGAAGATGAAGCACGAGCCGGTGCAAGCTCAGGTAGAGGTTCGTCGGCCTCTTGCCTCGGAGCCTCAAGGAGCTCCCACTCAGCGGCGTCGTCGCCGCTAGAAGCCTCAGTCCTGGGGCGCACTCGCACTTCCACTTCCGATCCGTCCACAGAGGTATAGCGCTGGCTCATCCACGATATGCCAGCAAGCGATGTCGGCCGTTCCTAGAAACGGCTTGCACGGGACCCCAACCTGCACTTCCAGAGCAGAAATTAGCAACCTCACAGCCCACTGGCGGCACCTAGTGGAAAGGCAAAAGCCTGTGAGCACAGCCCTACACCCAAAGCCAAACCAGAAGACCACTAAGGTCCACGAGGCCAGTTCAGCAAAGCGAATCGAACTATGGCACCACCAGCTATGGAGGGAAGGCAATCTACTAAGGACCAGGTCCCTGAGCATCCGAAAAAAAGCTTACGAGCAGCAGCACTTGACCCTGATTCCCAGCCATAAAGAATGCGAGTCATGTCACGCCATTTAGGCCAATTTTCAGGATCGAAAGCAAAGCTGGCATTGCTCCCCGGACCTGAAGATGACTTCTAAATTCTATCGCTACGTGGCCCGCCTCGGCTCCAGTAGTGCCAGCAGCGGCGCACCGCAAGCAGCAGCAGGCACAGAAGGAGCACAGCGACTGGCAGCATGTGTTGTAATCCAACATGGCTCGGAAGGCTGGCAAAAGCAGGAGCAGAAAGTAGCCATGGGCTGCTGTAAACCTGCGGCGCTGGGCGGCCTGCGCTGAAGGTGATGGCATGAATGAACAGAATAACAGACAGCAAGTCAGAAGCAGCTGGAGCAACAAAACAGGAAAACGAAGGAAGCACAGGAAGGAAGGAGCAAAAGTGAGACCAGGGTAGGGAGGGGAAAGGAGAACCGAAGGAGAAGAGCAATGGAAAAAACACGCGAGCGAAAGCAGCGGGAAGATGGAAAAGTGGCGGGGGAAGATGGAAAAGTGGCAGAAGGAAGGGGAGCAAGGGGAAGGAGGGAGCTGGGCAGGAAAGCAGCGGGAAGGTGGAAAAAGGAGAAAAGGGCAAGGACGGGAGGAAGAGGGAACGCTTCGAAGAAGGAAGGGGAGGGTAAAGAAGGGGGCAAGTCAAGAGAAGTGGGCGGGGCAAAATCCCACAAACAGAGGCGAAAAAGGGGGGAGACATGGGAAATAGTGAAAATCATGGGTGACAGGACGGAAAACAGGCTTTGCGTTTGAGGTGCAGGGGGGAGGATTAGGTGGAGGGTTACTTAGTATAAACCATCAGCCTCGACGGATTACATCCGTCTATTGCCGAGGTGGTGGTGACAGTCCGCTCCATCTTGGAGCATACGCTGGTCATCTTGGCGTCTCTTCCTCGACGCAGGGATTCACAATGTAGCATATCGGATCTTTTTGAGGCAATGGCTTTGCTGTGCCAAGCTCGAGTCATTAAGTTTCGTCCGCATGTCCGGCATGGCTCAGAGTAATGAGAACCCTGGTGCTAGCGCTGTATATAGCCATTGTACAAAGCGCATGTCTCAGCGAGGCAAGGGATTGCCACCAGGAAGGGCGCCTGGCAAAGGAAAGGGCAAGCCGGGGGCACCGCCCCCGCCTAGGCCAGGACCTGCCAAGTGCCAGGTGAAAGTCGGTCCGAAGCTGAGGCCCCTCTTCTGGCAGACTGTGGGCAATGTCCCCGACGAAAGCATTTGGAGCAGGATTTGCAAGCCAGTGCCATTCGACGCGGCATTGCTGGAGCGTCGCTTTGCTCTGACCGAGACCAGACCACCAGCCACTCGCAAAGGAGTGTCTGGCCATGCGAGTGGTGATGAATCCCGAAGAAAGGTTCGAGTGCTTGATGACCGGACTTCCCAACTACTTGCCATCGCCTTCAACAAGTTACCTCCAGCTGAGCACTTTGCCCAAACCGTGGAGAGCCTCGATGCTTTTCCAGAAGGTCTACCACCAGAGGCAGTGATAGCTCTTCAGGCGGCGTCGGTCGACCAGAAAGAAGCTGTTGAGCAGCTTCGACAAATGGATATTCCTGAATCGGACATTCTGCAGCTTGATGTGCCAGAGAGATATTTGTGGGTCTTGGCCAACCGACCTTTGTGTACGGCAAAAGTCGCATGTGGAGCCTTGATGTTTGGTTTGGCACCTGAGCTGCCAGAACTAGGCCTGGCATGCGAACGTGTGATCACGGCCTGCACGGCCCTGAGAACTTCTGAGCTGATTTCCCAATGTATCAGCACATGCCTTGCAGTGGGCAATGCAATGAATCGTGGGACGGCTCGCGATGGGGCAAGGGCAGTGGTGCTACCAGATGGACTGCTGAAACTAGACGAACTCCGGGGAAACAGCGAAGCCGATGGTGTGTCAGTGCAATCGCTGTTGGATTTTGTAGCCGAAGCCATTGTGCTTGAGGCTGTATGTCAGTCCAACACCAGGGAGCAGCAAGCGCAGCTTCGCACTGAGACATGGAGCCTGCGTGAAAGCGTGCGCGCGGCCCAGGGTGTATGCATCCAAGAGGCTGAGACAAACTGTCAGAGAATTTGTCTTGCAGCATCTCGGGCTCACTTCGGACTAGCCCCGTATCTGCACGAGCCATCCGTGGGAAGCATTGCTGTCAAAGTCTCCGGGATATGCGAGGAGGCAGAGACAACTTCCCAGCGCATAGCTGCAGCCAAGGAAGATTTGAAGTCTACCATGTGTTGGCTCAGCGCAAAGCCAAGCACAAGTCCCTCTGAGTGGCTTGGCAATTGGGTGCAGTTCCTCGATCAGCTCACCAGCGCCATCGAGCGTGTGCAGCTGCCTGAAGGCATTCCTCAGCGTTTCAGAGCAGAAGACCAAAGTCGTCAGCTGCAGGACATTACCAACAAAGCCTGTCAATCAGAAGTGGCAGGTCAGGCAGACCGCGCCCTGTGCCAGAAGGCTCCAAGCATGCAGTCCGTACAGTTGGATGACGACGAACGCATTGAGGTCTTGCTTGCTCGGATGCGATCACAGCAAGCGAACACGTGAGTCTCACACCAACTTTGCCAACGGGAATGTCTACATGAGGCTTCTGCTGCATATCTCCATTAATTACAAGTTACAAGTCATGTCCGGGCATTCTGAAGGCGTGGGGAGCGCAAAGGAAAAACACAAAATGCTGCGAGAGAATGACTGCAATGCAGTTCCGCATCAGGCACGTGCTGCGCACAGATTCCCTTGGCCCAGCCTGGCACTACTCTCGACAGACAGGAACTGGCTCATGCTACAGTAGTCATGAACACAAGCGTAGACACTGTGAGCGCCAAGATTCTGAGACAAGATCATGCTTCGAACACAGGTACCCGTACCCCAAGTAAGGCACTTTTGCGACCTTCCCTGGTAAGGTCGTTCGTCTTCTTCTTGGAGCTGATGCAAAGGAAACCCCCAATGCTGGTGGGTTCACTCCAACACAGCTGGCGGAGGCCTCCCGGGTCGGCGATTGGTGCCGAGCCAGTCGCTTCACTGTCGTTCAGGAGGCAGATAGCAGAGGCAGAAACCTCCTGCCTTGCAGTCCAAACCTATGCTATCCTTCGCCGCTCTTCGGCAGAAAGCTAACAGGCAGATACTGGCACACCTATGGAGACATGCAACGGAACTGAGAAAGACTACACCAGATCAGAAGAGCTCAGCCCGACAGGGGTGACAAACTGGAAGGGGGAGAGAGAGAGAGAGAGAGAGAGAGAGAGAAGGAGTAAGACCTCCCGCAACAAGCGGGTGTGCGTGCGCGCACGGGGTGATCGGCCTGGACGCTGCCGTGATCCCCAAGCCCGGAAGAGAGAGAGAGAGAGAGAGGGAGGCGCGCCCACCTGCTTTGCTGAGCAAGAGAGAGACAGAGAGTTAGTAAGTAGCAAAATCTTGGAGTTCTACACGGTTACGCTGTTTTTGGTCGTTTTCAAACGCGGATGTATCGCGGCCGAGAGGAGCAGTCTTTCTCCTGCACACAAGGAGGTTTGTGTACCCTTTGTCGAGCAACCTGTCAGGGCTGTGTGAGGACCTGGGGATTCACGAAGCTTTTCCTATCTGTGTTAGTCCTGACTGCCAAGCATGCTGGCGCTCAACAAAGGATACATGCCCCCTCAATCTATAGTCTCGAAATTGAAGGGGACAATCACGTGGCAATTCAGTTCCCTAGTTCAAGCATGTGTCGTCAATAGGTTGAACAGGTCCAGGCTTAAAATACTGCCAACTTCGGGGAAACAACCACAGTATTACTCCCCTTCAACACCCCGTAACAATGGGGGGACCGTGTGGCCAAGCGGACCTGCCCCTTATGCCCTGATGAAGAGAGAGGCCCCGGAAGGGCTTCACAGACTTTGCAGACGCACACTGTGGTGTGGGGCAGGCCTTCCGGCCAGGGTCTTTTAGGCCTCCACATCCCCAGCAAGCAGGCAAGCAAGAGAGAGGGGAAAAGAAGTTGAGAGTGTGGGTACACTCGCCGTGAACTCTACGTTTGACAACAGTCAGAGGGGACCGGTTGCGGAGCGCAGCCTTCGAAGCGAGACGAGCCCATGACATGAGTGAAGAAAGTGCGTTCGACGACAATGGGGGTTCCTGGCACTCGCCTCACCTTCAGAGGTGCACGGTAGCTGCGCGGCAGCCGCAAGAAACTGCTGGCTCAGTCAAAGGGTCAAAGGATATACGGAATAGATATGAAGCTCTTGGAAGACGTGGCCGTTTCAAATGTCCCTGCAGCTGAACAGCAACTCATGCGGATGCTTTGACAATGTGGACGGGTATCTGCAGCATTCAAGCCAGTCTTTTTGAACGTGGCCTCACCAGGTGGCAGGGGGAATCAGCTGTGAGCAGATCGTTTCAACTGAGATCTGTGCTGTTGTGCAACAAGTTCCGCTGCGTTTCAAATGTTTCAGGAACCCGAATGCCCCAAAGAGAAACGTGAAGAAAACAAACCATCCTGCTCAGGCAGTCTAGTTTCTACCATGGCTTCAATCTGGCTGGGAGGCAAAGCGTATGTGGCATGTTGTGCGACACCTCCGCGAGAATCAGAACGATGACGTGGTGAAGGACAGTAAGCCGACGGTCGGGCAGTCTCATGATGTGCTCAAACGTTTGGGAAGGAACGCTTGGGTCACATTCTGAGATACAACAAGACGGAAGAGGCAGAGGAGGACCGGCTGGCATTTCCGGAGGCCTCAAGTGTCGCACAGCTCGAAACGTCGCAAGCCGCTAGACTCATGAAGAGTGGTCTGAAGTCGGAAGTATCAGGAATCATTAGTGTCCTACTGCGTAGCCACAAGACCTGTCTGCGGTACACCAGCTGGGCTGCGACTTGCCCGTCGTGACCGTCAGCTGATTGCCGGCTTTACCCCACAGAAAGGTGGAGAAAGTTTAGAGCACGGCCTCGAAAGTCAGTAAAGCCAGAAAACATGAGATGCAGAGACGACCTACTGCGCACGACTCGATGTATCGCGTATAAAGTTCTGGTCCTCCGATTTACCACTCACTGGCATACCTTCAATTGTTGTACGGCATTCAACGGGGTATTGCTTGCAGTGATATATATATATATATATATATATATATATATCAGGTCGCGCCTGATTGCACAAACTCGGCAGTTCAAGCAAACGCCGACACACTGTGCTCAGCGAAGATCATGTGGAAAGGCTGTCACGCACGGTACCAGGAGCGACAGCTATGCACCATCTGTCTTGTACAGCCCTGTCGAAGCATTTTTGGAAGTTACGATGTGGTTGTGTAAGCGACTCGTGGATCACGGGCTTGCCATGCACCTCACATGTGCAGGAGGACATTCCAATGCGCGAGCTGGCCGGGAACCTCAAAGAGTGCTGGCAGGAAAGAATCGGTGAATTTGACTGCAGGTATTTCGGCCGTGTGACATTCACAAGGCGAACCAGCTCATCGCCTTGAAAGATGACTGAGTCAACTTCCAGAACCAACTTGCCAAAGAACATCGGAAAGCCGCCAGGCTCCCGTAGCAAAGCAGCTAAGCAGCTCTTGAATGGAACCAAGCAGTTTCACGTGGATTGCGAGCCTGTTTCCAATCGCCCTTCATGACCAAGTCCTTGTAGTCATGCTACGTATGACCGCCAAGCTTTAACACCGCATACTGTAGCACTTTAGCAGAGCCTATTCCTGCTCTTCGACGCTTGACTTGCCACAAACTTTGGAAACGAACATCCACACGTTCCTGAAGGGAACTGTGTCGTTGGAGCTTGCAGTCCGGCTCGGACGAAATCCCATTGCAGAGTTGCGGCCTGAAACGTGGCGTGTAAAAATGCTTTCAGATTCGCAGCGGCCTGAGCAGGGACAAATGCCATTTATGATCAGATTTGTAGACATCGAAAGCAGTGAGAGTCTGACAGCCCTTCATCTGGACAGTCGGGAAGTGAAGCAAGCACAGCCCCATGAGCGGTCGTACATCAGGGATGTGAGAGTTCAGCTGTGCATGCTGGCTGTTGCGCAGCTGGCACTGTAGAATGCCTGATGCTACAGCAGGCTCCAACCCTGTGTTTCTGAAATCCCTCACCTGTAGCAGTAGTTGCTTGCAGGACTTGCTGGGAATACATCGTGGATACTGCAGGATGGCAAGTGGCATTGCTTCATACTGTGATGCGGGCTTGCTGCGTATCAGCCGCTGACTCGCCATCCAGGAGGCCAGAATGCAGCGGATGCGAAGGCTTCAGCCGCAGAGGTACTGGTGCCTGTGTAACGCTTGATTGGGCATATTGGGCATGCTGGGGCAATCGACTTCGAACTTCGGGCACTTGCCTGAGCTTCTGCACATCGATTCAGGCAAGTGCTTCCAGATTGCCCCAGCCGACATTGGCTTCCGCTGTGCGTGCTTGGCTTGTGAGTTTATCCGGACTACACGTCATGGCCCGCCGTGGCAGCTCACCCTTCAGGTCGTGCGGCTGCACATCGAAGGACTGTTCTTCGCCCTTTTTGAGCTCAACTTTGCGCAGTTGGCACAGTTTAATTTTCAAGCTTGACATATCCTTCTGTGCGCTCTGGCTCTCACACTTTTCATGCTTTGTGCGCTTCTGGCCCCCTGAGTTGGCATCTGCGACCAGTGGCACTGTGGGTGTGAGTTAATTAGTTACTTGTACCCGCTTAGAATCGCCGTCGCTGGATCTTCGACTGGAGACAATATCTCCGGAGGAGCACGAGCAACTTCCTCATGCGCCGTTGTCGCCTCAGCTCAGTTGGAGAGGCTACGCAGGCTCCTGAATTCAGTTGTGTTTAAGCACGCAAATTATTTCCGCCACTCCAGGAGTACCCGACGTGTCAGCGACTGCAACAGTTGGCAGCGAATGCATTCGCTCAGGAGCGTTGGTCTGGCGCCGGAAGATTCACAAGGAATGCCCGCAGAGCTTGAACAAACCCCACAGCTGTGCACATCTATTTTCGTCGCCAGCTGGTTACCACGCTCACCGGCATTTGTGCGTTGGAGATCTGGTGCAGCTTAAAGCCGCGGAGGCCAGAGAAAACCTCTGTGATTGCATTGGCTTTTCTTCGACCTGGGCCCATCTGCCCATGCACTCAGTCGGTTAAGTTGCGTCCAGGCATCGACAGCGAAACGTGGAATTGTTCTTGACATTCTCGAGCTGGATCCTTATTCCATCTTATTCCTGTGCACTCATGGGTTCTGGGACATGTGAGATGAGGATGTTGATCCCAAGGTCGGGCCCGTTTGGCTTGTGCTCGGTGTTGGTCTCAGTTTTTCACATCCACCTTTTTGTCACTCGCACTCGACAGTGTCACACAATGCCGCTTGTTGTGGTGGGGGTCCCCCAAAGTGACTCGGTCTAACTATTGCTAAACCACGAGATAAGGTCCTAGACCCAATTTTGACCTGGTTCTGTACTGCTACTTGTAATACTGTACTCACGTAAGCTGGTAGACGACAACTCCCACAAACTCCACAAACCTGGCTTTGGTGGCATCAGTCAGTTGTGTGGGGCATTGGATGTGGCTACAGGCTAAGCCAAGAACCCCGCAATGATTATTTAGATTCAAATCTAGATTGCACTAGGCTTGCGTGGAGTGCATAGGTATTTTGGGCGCATGCCAATCAGCTTCCTGCTTGTTTTTTCACGAGAAATTCGAAGCAAGACTCTTGGTGACGAGAAGATTGACTGCAATGCGTGACCACCATTGAAGGACAACGAGGCAATTGCGTGTCCTTGTTCAGTATGATATTGCAGGTCCTGTGTGGTGGCATGAACGCTTGGTTTTAAACCACCTTCGCAAAGAAGAATCTGTCATCGTCACACCGGACCGGGATGTGCACATCGAGGAGTTGACGCTTCTAGAAATGGTGATCTGCGATTCATCCGAGTTGGAGGCCCAGGTGGAGTACACCCAGTGGGAGTCAGGGCAGACGGAGGGCCGATTTCCAGACAGAGGCGGGCCAGCTACGCTGCCGTTGCCACTGGAGTTCTTGGAAGCGTAGAGGGGCTCTCGTACCTGCGGCTGGCCTGCACCCTCCGTGCTTGTTGCTGGATGTCCCTGCCGCAATGGGCAGCGGAGGTGGGAAGCCCGTTTATGACTCCGACACCTTGTATTGTTAGGCCGCTAAAGTGGGCCGTGGCGATGCCGTTGCGCATGTGGTAGCGGTGGCCCGGGATGGATGCAAAGCAATTCATCAGCTGCCGGCGGGGGACCAGACCTTTGATCAGTGCTGCTATAGCGAATCGAAACGACTTCTTGCTGAGGCCGAGTGGGTGGGATACCCGCACTTGCGGCTTGAGGTTTGATAGCTTCGAGCGACGTGAGGTTTCCGTGAAGGACGCGGCCAACCGATCCTTGGAGACTGCTGTGGGCTGAGTTCTTTCAGGTCCCCGCACGGCCAAGCCGTGAATCAGTTATCTCGTCGTCGAAGGCCTCGGCATGGAAGGTCATCGGACCTACGGGAGCACTTCCAGTTTTCAATGATTACGAAGCAAGCACTGCAAGTAATCCGTGCTCCGGATTAGTTGGGGGTGGGCGCCGCGGCGCCCCCCCTTCACAATTCAGAAACCCTTTTATTGATTTGGAGGGGTCGGGTCGGTTGGTCTTGGACTGGTCGGGCCGGAAAGCCCACACAGGCGACGCGTAGCAGCCCGCAGTCGCGGACATGTAGTCAAGTGGTAGAAGTAGTAGTAGCAGTAGTTGTAGTCGTAGTAGTAGTAGTAGTAGTAGTAGTAGTAGTAGTAGTAGCAGTGGCAGCAGTGGCAGTGGTAGTGGTAGTGGTAGTGGTAGCAGTAGTAGTAGTAGTAAGTAGTAAGTAGTAAGTAGTAAGTAGTAAGTAGTAAGTAGTAAGTAGTAAGTAGTAAGTAGTAAGTAGTATTTCTGCTACGAGGCCCTAATGGGTGGAACTTTTGCAAATTAGTGTCGCAGTTTCTCGCTTGATTGCCATGGATTCTGCGTCTCGCCGGCTTTGTGCATGCATTGGGTATGCCATTAGGCAAGCAGGCAAAGGGAAACGCCAGGATGTTGCTCAAACGCTTTGGCAGGCTCTTCACATCATGACTAAGCCAGATATCTCGAGACAACCTATATCTTGTTGGTCAGCTTTAGGTTTGGGTGGCAAGGAGGCTCCGGGAAATGCCTTTTCCGACGTTCATAGGTCTTGGGGACCAAAAGCCAGTCGCACCTGTCATGTCTTCCTGGATCGCACGACCCAGACCGAGGTTGAGATCATCACACGTGGTGAGTTTGAGAATATCATGCACAGGAACATGCAAGCTCTCTCGACTTATCAGGAAAAGCTTGAGACTTTAAATCTATGCCTCGCTAGTTTCGAGCGCATTGGGGAGGCTGTGACGACAGATGGACCTGCAAGCATGTCTGTTGCTTCATCATTCAATCCTGTTCGGCGTGGTGTTGGACTTTCCGTTGACGAGTTGTCTGCTGATGGCAGCGCGGTGGACTTCGACCGGGAACCAATGCATCCTTCCTTGTCGAGTGTGGAGCAGCTGAAGGAAGAACATCGCCAGAGACGGATGGAGCTGAAAGAACAGAGACGAGCTGATCGTGCGAAGAAGAAGAATATACCACATGCTGGCTCCAATTAAATGCTCAAATATATTTCAACTAATAGTCGTTCCTCATGAACAAGCTTGAGGGCGGACCCGGTAGAGGCGCTGCAGACCGGATGCAAAAAGTAGTAAGTAGTAAGTAGCCAGTAGTCAGTAGTCAGTAGTCAGTAGTCAGTAGTAGTAGTAGTAGTAGTAGTAGTAGTAGTAGTAGTAGTAGTAGTAGTAGTCAGTAGTAGTAGTAGTAGTAGTAGTAGTAGTAGTAGTAGTAGTAGTAGCTGTAGCTGTAGCTGTAGCTGTAGCTGTAGCTGTAGCAGCAGTAGCAGCAGTAGCAGCAGTAGCAGTAGCAGCAGTAGCAGCAGTAGTAGCAGTACTAGCAGTACTAGCAGTACTAGCAGTACTAGCAGTACTAGCAGTACTAGCAGTACTAGCAGTACTAGCAGTACTAGCAGTACTAGCTGCACTGGCAGTACTAGCAGTACTAGCAGTACTAGCAGTACTAGCAGTAGCAGTGGCTTTCGCTGACGACTGGCTCTTTCAATGGGTCATTAACAAGCCTGAGGAGGGAACTAGAGCTGTTAGACTAGTGGGCTTCGTACTTGATGTCCTACATGAATTTGGCATGCAACCGAGCCTGGACAAAACAGTCATACTCATCAAACTCAAGGGCAGCCAAGCAAGTCGACTTGTTAAGGAGCACGTTTTCCACCGACCGGGCAAAGGCAAGGTCATCAAGATTGAAACAGGCCGTGGGCAAGTTGAACTGCCTGTCGTTGATCAGCATACCTACTTAGGTTGCCAGCTGAGCTACACTTGTTCTGAGTTTCTCACAATCAAACATAGAGTCCGGCGGTCTTGGATTGTCTTCAACAGGCTCTTGCCCTCTTTACGTAGCGCTGGCC